CAAAGTCCCCCAAGAGGTAAGCTTGAGCTCCAAGAACCAACTAGCTCTTCTGCAGTTCAGCCAGGCCAAGGCTGCCATTCCGGGGCTGGGCTCCTTCTTTTTCTTCCTATAAATGCTGAGTTTATTTCTGTCCCACTGGGGATAGGCCTCTCTCCCTGGAAGTAACTATTTTGATAGCAGGCAGGGGACCCCAAAGGGATCCCTCTCTTCTGGGAAGGTTTCTTCTTCAAGCTTTCCATTGGGCACAACTGCCCCCCCTTAGGGTGAAACTCACCTTAGTATCAGCCGCTAAATTCACCTCGTATTTTATGTATTTATTTCTTTATTTTTAAGAGAACAGAGTCTGATCAACTCTTAAGTGTGGGAGTTCTGTGTGAAGAAGAGGAAGAAGTTGTTCTGTCTCCCTCCTCCCCCACTGGCTCCCTGACCTTGCCTGAAATATTCTTCCCCCTCCACCCATCCTCCTCTGCCAGGCTGACTTCAGCCCCACTTGAGATCTCACCTGGGCATCCCCTCCTCCCCCCTGACCCCAAGGTCAGATTACACTCCTGCCAGGCTCCCAGCAGTTGCAGTTCCTCCCAGCAGGCCCACCTCCCACTGGGTTGTCATGTGGTCCTGGCTACACCCCATTCTCAAAGACAGACTCCACTAGCAGAGAGTTCCTACTGCTGTGTCCCTACACCTGGCCAGAGCAGGCTGTCAGAGTGCTTGTCAATGAAAGGGAGAAAGAGCAGCTGTGATGTGGCTTTGGTGGGGCACATTTGTCCCCTCAGCTTCCCCCAGCTCTGCTGTCTTAGTTTTTGTAACAGTTTTCAAAGTACTTGATTTATTTATTTTTAAATTTTAGAATATCACGGGGGTACACACGTTTGGTTATTTAAATTGCTTTTGTACAGTTTGAGTCAAAGTTGTATCACCCATTAGGTGTGAATTTACCTATCCCTTCCTCCCCACTACTTTTTTTTTTTTTTAGAAACAGAGTCTCACTTTGTCACCCTTGGTAGAATGCCATGGTATCACAGCTCACCTCAACCTCCAGCTCTTGGGCTTAGGCGATTCTCTTGCCTCAGTCTCCCGAGTAGCTAGGACTACAGGTGCCCGCCACAGGCCCGGCTATTTTTTGTTGCAGTTTGGCCAGGGCTGGGTTTGAACCCGCCACCCTCAGTATGTGGGGCTGGCTCCCTACTCATTGAGCCACGGGTGCCACCCAAATATATAAGGTCACCTTTTTTTTTGGTTGTAGTTGTCATTGTTGTTTGGCATGCCTGGGCTGGGTTTGAACCAGCCAGCTCCAATGTATGTGGCTGGTACCCTAGCTGCTGAGCTATAGGCGCCAAGCTCACCTCCCGACTACTGTCTAGGCTTTCCAGGTGAGGACAGTGGTAGCTTTCCCACCCAAGAGAAGCTGGGTGGGTGGGTGGAAAGTCCCTGGTCTGGGTCTGGGTAACCAATGGACAGAATGATAGCACCGGCCACTTAGCCCCTGCCTTAGGTGCTGTCAGGGTCATGGCTGCTTGAGCTCCTCTCAGGAACTTTCAACAAGTTCCTGGTCTTCCTATGAAATCACTTTGCTAGAAGCCAGGAAGTCAAAGTCAAGACCCCACAATACCGCTGCCTCCCCAACCTCCTCCATGTAGTTCCCCTTGCTTTTTTCTATCAGCTTCTTAGAATCCTCAGCTAGAGAAAGACACTTCTGACCAGGCTTTTAAAATGTATTTTTCAAGAAAAAAGTGTATTTATCCTTTGAAGAACCAGAGGTTCTCCCAAGAAATATGGGAGCCCAGACTCCCAGGGCCATATGCACCTCGGAATGTAGTGGCAATGGCAGTGCTGCCTTGACTGTCACCTGGCCTTCCCTGTGGCCTGTTGGTCCGGCTCCACATGGCCCT